CGGTGTTGGCCATTTTGAATCACGTGGTCATATCGAATCCGTGATCAAAAAGAGAACATCTCAAGAGGTATTCTGAAATACAACCCTGTCAGTGATAGGATAATATCTCCAGGCCTACAAGGAGGATCAGTCCATACAACCATCATTCAAATGTGTGCACCAACCGCTAAAGCCCACTGTGGTACACCATTTCATGTCAGCTGGATACAAGAATGAAGGGGTGGAGTCTAGCCTGTCAATCAGGTCACAGCCTGGTGTTCCTCCCTTGTGAGCGTGGCCTTCTCGTGAGGATTCTGGGAACTTCCTCTCTCTTGATTCTGCTAACAGAAGAGGTGAGAACCCGCGCCTCTCTCTGTCTCTCTCTCTCTCTGCTTCACATTCCTGTTGACAAACCACACGGAGCCACGCTGATGGCAGCCAGAGCCCTGGAGATGGGTCCACTGCCACTGGACCCACAGGACTTTCCACCCACTGGCCTGTGATCTTCCTGCATTCGGCATCATTGCATGTGCTTTGTGAGTCTGAAGAATTCTTGGGCTAATATCCAACTTATGAACTTGATCTGGGCTGGGATGCTGTACTGATACATAATTACTTCTTGGTATAAAGTTCTCGCTTATACATATATGAGTGTCAATGAATTTGTTTGTCTAGTCAACCTGGTCTAACATACCCATGAAGAAGAAATTGAAGAATGCTTCCAACGTCTTCAGTCTGAAATTGCCTAGACAGTCCATCGAGATGCATTGATGGTTGGCGACTGGAATATGAAGGTTGGAAACGAAGAGGAAGGAACAGGCATTGGAAGTGGTGGCCTTGGCGATAGAAACGAAGCTAGCGATCGCATGACATAGATGTCATGATTGCATGATAATAACGCATGCCAGTAAAATGATAGGATTTTGCAGGCCCAACGACGTCTTTATTGGAAGCACCTTTTCCCAACAACACAAGTGGTGAACGGACGCAGGGACTTCTCCAAGCGGGACACACAGGAACCATATGGATGGCATTTGTGGGAAGGGGCCATGAAGAAACTGATACGAAACAAAACCAAGGGACAAGCGTGAAATGGACAGCCATTGTTCGTACGCTAGTTCAGGTTGAAGCTGAAGAGATGAAAATAAGGCCACAAGAGCCAAACTACACCCATCAGCACATTCTCCAGACTGTGGAGATCCTCCCCAGAATGGATTTGATGTATGGAACACCAACGGCCCACCACGGACAGGATGAGCTGTGAGAGACAGTGTTATCTGTATCGTAGAGGAAGAGAGCAGAGGTCCTCAAAAAGACAAGAGAGAAAAGACCAACGCGAATATCCGAAGAGGCTCTGAAACTTGGTCTTGAAGGTAGAGCAGATAAAGTGAATGGGAAACAACCGATGGAGTCAACGAGCACATTCCCAAGGTCGCTGGAGAAGTCAAAGCGAAGTATTTAAAACGAACTGTGCAAAGACCTAGAGTTGGACAACTCGGAAAATGAAGAACATGTTCCGCAAATCTTACTATTGAAGCCTTGAGTTGAAATCTTGAAGGATTCTATGGGCCAAACGAGGGAGCCCTGGTGGTGTAGTGGTTATGCGTTGGGCAGCAATCCGCATGGTCGGTCGTTCAAAACCACCAGGGATTATGAGCCCCAATAAATTGATTTAAAAAAAAAGAAAAATGAGGACCTAATGCCAGGGGCTTAAGTGGAAAGGAAATGTTTTAAGAATGATGAGGGCAGTGAATGTACAAATGCGCTTTACACAATTGATGTATGTATGGATTGTGATGAGTTGTATGAGCCCCTAATAAAATGATTAAAAACAAAACAAAACAAAAAAACCACCAGGGAGAAAGACTGGGCTTTCTACTCCCGTAAACTGCTACCATCTTGGAAACCCACAGGGGGCGCTGTGAGTCAGCATGGACTCACTGGCAGTGAGTGACTATGGGGAAACTATTGAACGAGGCAGGAAGGCTCGGAGGAAGATGGAAGGAATGCACAGAACCATTGTACCAAGAAGAAAGTGGTCAACATCCAACCATTTTAAGAGGTAGCCTTTGGTTAAGAGCCAGGGACCTCGAAGAAAGCAATCCCAGCCATAGTGGAAGATAGCCACCTGGCTAGGCGACTGGTGGAGAGACGTGCCCCAACAGAGGGCGGGCGGCATTGAACACAATCATTAATAACCCACGCAAGTAAAATTCTGCTGAAGATCCTTCAAAAACAAGCACAGCAGCACAGTGACAGGGGTTGCGCGGAATTCTGAAAGGGAAGCGGCCGGAGGGAGATCATTGCTGATGTCAGGTGGGTGCTGAAAGCAGAGACGACCCACCGTTCGATTCTGACTCGTAGGGACCCTCCGCACCCAGAACTGGCCGGTCCTGCACCACCCTCACCATGGTGGTGCTGTTGGAGGCCATGGTTGCAGTCACGGTGTCAATCCAACTCACGCAGAACTGCCCCCTCCACTGTCCCGAGCCTGACGCCCTTCTCCATTTGATATTTCGTTGAGGGCCACCTGCTGCAAGGAGCCCTCTTCAAGTTCCTGTCCCGCCGTTTCAGCAACACCTCCCGAGAGAGCTCCATTCTTCTCGTTGCAAAGATCACAGCTGGTAAGGATCCAGGATCCACCCCGGGAGCCGCCTCGGGGCTTGCTGTGTGGATTCCGTGAGGGGTTGTTGGGTGCCCTGGCATCGACTTCTCTCATCGACTGACTTCATGTGACCCGGGAGAAAGGCCCCAGAGGGCCTCTTAGGCCACCCTCTGGACAGGGGAGCAGATCACAGAGCCACTTTCTCCATCGAAGCCACTGGATGGGTTCGAATCATTAGCCTTTCAGTTAGCGGCCGACTTGTTGGGTCAGTTCCGAGTCTGAGCGACCCCAGGACAAGAGAGCAAAGGCCAGCAGTGTGCCCTGCTCACAACTGGTCGGTTCCAGCCCATTGTGGCAGCCACCGGGCCCAGGCAGCTCGTTCGGGCACAGGCCCTGCCGCATGGAAGAAGCAAGCGAGAATTGGCTTATCATCAGACAAGTAAGCATAAAGAACACTGCCCCGTCCGTCTTAACCCCTGGCGGACCCGAGACAATAGAGGATGCTGCTGCCCTGTCCTGCACCATCCTCGCCACCAGTCCGTCAGCTCCGTCAGCTCCGCTTCACTGTGTTTACAGAGCCCCCCTCCCCCAACCTAGGGGCCACCTCCCTGCCTCTAGGGAGCGTTTGTTGTGTGTTATTTGAAACGTGCTGTCAGTTGAAAATGCCCAGCACCATGCCTGGGACCTAGTGAAGATTTTACGGTTCCTCCTTTTGCTGCTGGTATTGTGACATTATATATTAAAATACGTGTTATGATTATAAAGATTAACCAGGTGATGCGATAGTTAATCACGCAACTGCTAACCGTAAGGTTGGCGGTTCGAACCCACCCAGCTGCTCTGAGTGAGAGAGACCTGACAGCCTGCCCCCACCCCCACTCCCACCCCAGGAAGATCAAGTTAGGTCGTGTCCCGCTAATTCCAACTCATAGCAACCCCATGCACGACGCAAAGAAATGCCCCCGGTCCTATGTTGGTCCAAGAGCCTCCCCAAATCGAACCCACTGCCATCCATTCAGACTCACAGCGACCCTGTGAAGACCGGGTAGAAGTGCCCCTGTGGGTTTCGGAGACTGTCACTCTTTACAGGAGCTGAAAGCCCCATCTCTCCTCTCCCGGACCCTGGGAGCACCTGGCGGTTTTGAACTGCAGGGACCTTGAGGATCGCAGCCCAGCGGGAAACACCACCCCGCCAGCGCCTAGTGCCCATGATCCAGGATTAATCTTCTGGTGGATCACTAAGGAGTGGGTTATAGACTTCAGTGCCCCGCGGCCA